AAATTGTTTGTAATTTAGTGTTCTAAAACAAATTTTAAAAATTACCGGCAAACAATTTGTAATGTTGTTGATTTGGTTTTGTTTTCTTTGTTGAGGAAAGAAGTTCTGAAACAAGAAAAAAAATAATAAAAAATGGCTTAGTAAAAAGTGAAACACCAAAACAACCAAGACAAATGAGAACATTGTGAATATCTTACTTGATTCTACTTTAAGGTCAACCTCATAGCGAATAGACTTCACTATTTTGTTACAACCATCTTGACTATAATCGAAGCACTTAAGATGAAGCAGCAGAACTGGAGGTAATTCTTCCAGTAGTACCTCTTGCCATGCTGAGACCTCTTGGTTTGAGCGTGAGCATGTTACACCCTCCAGTACGTCTCTCTTAACATATGCTTCTAAGGCATCCTTTACCGATGAACTATTCTGCAAAACCAAACAAAAACAGTGAGTGATAAAATAAGTACATTAGACTCGAAACCAAGAAATGATAGTTCAAATTCATAATCATTCCATGATAAAATTTATTTATGCAGATAAAGTAACATACCTCTATGTCAAGCTGCAGGGTAAAAAATGGTTGAACATTATCAGTATTGGCATCCTGTCCGCTTCTCACTACTCTGGATCTTAGTTTGCCCCGGAAGATGTCAGATAGAGGTGTTCGTCCAAAATCTGTTTGTCTAGTGACAGCGCCTTTATTTTTAGGGCCCACACAAACCTGATGAAATTTAAGTTATAAATATAGAGAGGTAATAGTCTATATTTTATGACAGTACTACCACCATCTGAAGCAACTAACCTTCCATTCATCCGCATCATCTTGAGAGAGGCACTCAGTTTCCCCATTTGAGGAAGCCGGAATGGGAGGTGGTATTGTAGAAATATCACCATTGGGGAGATCACCAGCAATCTTCATGAGCTCGAGCATTTCATCATTCAAACCATTTAGAAGACATGACAGAAATTCTTCAGCATCCTCTTGTCTTCCTTCAACCATTGTGTCAGTGCGAATAACTGATAGCATACGGTACACACATGTTGGTTCAAAAGCTGATCCTGTAGGTATGTCATATTGAACATCACTCTCTTTGCTCCGAGCTGCTCGATCTGCACGCTTTAATCTTGCTGAAGATGGTAGCTGATTAAATTCTTTCACAAAGGTCTTCCTAGAATGAAAAACAGGGGTGTAAAATATTGTAGTGTTGAGATATGAAATTAAGTAATTTCACACTAATTTTTATCACTGACATGCTCTCAATGATGGCAGTGTGAGATTCAGCAGAAGAACGTCCATGAGGCAAGCAGCTTTCAGGTAAACTGTTAAATAGATTATAAAATGGCGGACAAGCCAGAAGAGCCTGAAGTGTAGCGTTTATGTAACACCAGTTGTTCCTGTTTGTAAGACCCCTTGGTTGAAGACTAGCAGGTTTATGGTCTAAAGAATACTCATGAAGCCACTCTGGAGAAAAAAATATCAGCAATGTTAAGAGGTACTGAACAATTTTAAGGGCATGTTGGTTGTTAAAGTGTAGGCCATTACCAGATAATCGATGCAGCCTTGGTTCGTGTGAGGGATTTGGTGGAGGCAATGCAGGAGCTACACCAGATGGAACAGCACCAGTCTTTGGCTGAGTGTTGGGCAAGCCTTTGTTTGGGGGTTGCATTGGACCCCAGCCAGATTGAGTTGGAGGGGAAACTGCTTGTGGCCCATCACTGAAACATACAAGAAAAAAAAAGGGGTATTAATTTAATGGTTACAAAAGACCTATGTGAACAGCATTGACATAGTTCAGCAAATGTCCAAAAGTTCAGACTTTTAACAGGCAATAAGTGAAGCAGTTGGTAGCTGATTCAACGAATCTCTTGTGCACCTATCGTACAGCTATGACCAAATAGCATTATGGCTTTGGACTCATATGACAAAACTATCACAAATAATTTAGATGATAGAGAGGTAGTTGAAACACGGTTGATTTATTTAAAAACCTAACCAATCAATATTACAATGGTACTGTTGAAAATGCAGATACATATGCGACAACACTGAAGTGGCAATTGGCTTGACAGCCCTTACAGTC